AGATTCCTGCTATGAGTGAGACCATCTGGTATTTTTCTTTTTCTTTTTGGCTTATTTCGCTGAGCATGATCCCTTCCAACGCCATCCATGTTGCTGCAAATTGCATGTGTTTATCTTTTTGAATGCTGAGTAATATTCCATGGTATATATGTACCACATCTTCTTGATCCGTTCATCTATTTTTGGGCATTTGGGCTTTCAACTCAACTTTTTAACGGATGGCAGTGTATCACAGTTGAGGTGACACTGATAGATAAATGAGCAATATGGACAATCACTTATTTGGGAAAATAGCACACTGGTATTTTGATTTATGATTTTAATAAGTTCTTAATATAAATTACTATAAAATGTTGCTCTTAGTGTTAACTATTGCATTGTAGTTACTGATTCAATTCACATAATAATTTCTCATATTTTTTCCAAAGATATGTTCAAAAGTCAATATTACAATAGATAACATTCTCCATCATAAACAATATACATAATGCCAAAGATTTGAATTCTGTTTATCAACCTTCTGTTATATGCCTTATAGCATATAGTAGGCAGAGTAAAGACAAGTGCAATAAACATCCCTTTTGCATCAATAAAAAGTCACAACATATTTGTAATTAGATAAATGTACTGTTTTCCAGTAAAGCTCATCATCTGATAGAGGTTATGCCTCTGAACCTACAAAAGCACTGAAACTGTATATTGAGGACACTATATTAGGGAGGAAATGAGAAAGAAATATTTGTGGTCATTGCTACTCAGCCTTCTATTGTGTCACCAATTGCATGCAACACCAAAGACCTTTGCAAATCCTCAAGACTCCAGTTGAAATTGTATTTACAATAATCAGGAGTCAATGTGCTTATAATAATAAATACATTTAAGTTTAGCATTTAGATGCCAGGAATAGTGCCAAGTTCCAAAAGAAAGTACATCACATTTTAAAAATGAGAGGGGGGTGGGTGTACTTTTTTATGGGCCATGTTATTCTTACAATGTGAATTTTTTGTTCTTTAACCAACAACAGTCTTTCACATGACAAAGGACAAAAGCAAACATATTTGCACAGTGGGAAGGATAATCACCTAATTTTCTGCAGACACCCAGCCCAGTGAACCTTGTTCAACTTACTGGAATATTATATGTAAAAGCATTTGGCAGTAACATTTATCAAAGAAGACAGTTGACAAAAGAGTCAATATCAGTAACATCACTGTTAGAAGGGTGATCTAAGCTGCTCCAGAAACATAAGATGATCATGGCTTCTCTGCCAATATTATAAAGACAGAATGTGGATAGAAATCTCAACAAGGAAAGTGAAAGTTCGTGTGTTTGTGTGTGTATGTGTGTGTGTGTCTGGGGGGTGGGGCTAAGAGGGAGGTAGAAAAAATATGAATACAGGGGCAGAGGCGGGGGAGAAAGGGATGAGAGAGGATAGAGGTCAGTGACAGGAGTGGAGAAAGGTAGAGACCTTGGGAAGTAGATATTTCTCCAGAATGAAAGTATTGAGCCAGCATCATAACACTCATGCCTTATGGAATGAAACACAAACCTCTTTTAGAAAATGTCATAGTAAGTCCCTTTCAAATTTAGTGTTCTTTGATTATCTATCAGGTAAGAGCACGAATAGAAGGAAATATAGTGAGGAGGTTAGGAGAGAAAGAAGGCTTCATGCCAAGCCTATGAGTTTAAGGAACATTCCAGTTGACTACTAATGAGCACCATTTCAGGGAAAGCTGAATTTAAATTCCTATGATGTCATACTCTACGATTGGCATCTTGGCTGACAACATACTTATATCGAATGGACTGAGACAGGAAGTAATTTCAGGGAGAGGTTTAATAAAGAAAGAACAGGTGAGAGAAGTCACACTGTTTTCACTGGAATTAGGGGACAATGCACAAAAAGTAAGCCTCACCACATAAATACTCCAATCCTCCATTTATGTAGGTAGAAGATTTGAGATTGGTTGCTCCCAATATATTTGACCATAGAATTCACTTTTGTTTACTATTTTTATGTATACTGTCAATATTGCTATGAAATTTCCAGAGCCAATAAGGTACTTGTGCAATATCAGTTGTGCCGATATTAAGATCATAACAACCAGTAGGTGATTTAGACAATCTAGAATACCTGATTAAATATGCCAGTGACAAGCCATGAATAAGGAATAAAGCATCAAGACTTCCATGGCCAGACACACTTAGGCCACCTCAATCAAACTGCTTATAGTCACTTGCACAAATTCAAATTTTTAGACTATTCTACCACTTATACCAGCTGCTTATTTCTGATTTGTGGAAAAGATGAAACTATAAATCAAGCTTCATATTAGGGAATTTTTCTCTTATGAGGAAGATATTTCATATGAATAGTAAAGGACTGACATAATGAGGACTGAGAGATTTTCAGGGGGCAGTTGAGGCATGATTTGTTTTGATTCAGCACACAGACCTTTTTAGATCTTTTTTTTTTTTAAGATTGATTTATTTATTTATTTATACAAGCACTGGGTACATTCAGAAGCACGGGAGGGTGAGAGAATTCACCAGAGTCAGAGCGGAGGGCAGAACAGGTAGACTGATGAAGTACACTGCTGAGGGGAGCAGCGGGCGGCAGGAGAGGTCTGCGTGCCATGAGGGGCCCTCACTGGGTGGCCGGGGATCACACTGGTGCTGCAGAGGCTGGGGGCAGCTTCGCAACCCAGCAATCAACCTCTGCGCCACTGGGGAAGCCCCCTTTTTAGATCTTATCAGTAAATTTGATAAACAATTTGGTATTTAATCAGGAAATATCCTTCATGTTCCTATCGTCACCTTCATGCTACACCAATTTTAGTGACATTCATTCAGGAACTTGAATACAAAACTATTTCCAAACTATAAGGAAATTATACTTTGTAACCAATATATCATGCAATATACTATTCTGAAGATGTAAAGACATCACCCTACATCCTCTTGTGCCCAATTTACCATGTTGAAGAGATCTTGCCAAGAAAACAAAATCAAATGAAACAGCATATGTGAAATTTCTGGGCAGCTGACTTACACATAGTGGGCATTCAGTCTGTATGTGTGCATATATGTATACATATGTATATTCAGTACATAGATTCATATGAGATTCATATTAAGAACATATATTCAGAATGTATATTTTTCCTTTCTGTGCATACTTTATATTCAGGTGACATAAAACACTGAATTTATATAAAGGGTAATGAATTCCTTTACAGAATTATTTGTCCAATTATGATATATTTTTAAATGACACTTTTAGCATTATATTTACGATGTGATGCAGTTTGCCATAATTGACCTTGACCTGAAAAAGTGCAGGCACACACCTATTATTTGGAACAGGGTGAGCCTCTATCACAGTCACTGAGGATACCTAGTTTTGATTCAAACTTCTGTCACATTTTTTACATCTTAACTGCAATGCTTGACCCCCACTCCCAAATTCACCACTTCAGCATTTCTGGAATTTTCATCCATTATGAGGAATTCAAGTAAGAACCTGTACTTGTGTCAACAATTGCGTTTGGATCAGAGGTCACACATGTAAGCCTGGGCTGTTCCTTAGTATAATGTGCGGTGATTCAATTTCTCATTTTGGATTCATGACAAGTGTTGCACAGCTATGACAGTTCAGGACAGAATTTCACAAATAGAAAAATTAATAATAGAAAACTTAATCATCTAATGTATCTCTAAAGTGTACTGAAGAGCAGCCTCCTACAGTGAAGATACAAGATCAAGCTTATTCTATGCCAGCTTTATATGAAAGCATTATCGATGACTTAAGAAAAATGAAAACACATATTGAATAGAGTTTTGGTTCTTACCTGTCATTGTTACTGTTTCTCCCTGAAACTATTTTTTTCTATTTTCCATTAGATAAATAAAAATATGGGGTATTTAAAATTAATGCTGCTCTTAGTCCACTGTCCTGTTCTACTATCTCCTTGTCAAATATTCATAATTAATGATGCATGTAAGCAGGAAGGAACTCTCTGACAAGCATCCACTGACGTTGCCTGCATTTCTAAGGTAGCATCGCGGTGCTGAAAGGATAGCTCCCGGTCACCTGCCCACAGACAAGAGTTTGCTTTGTGAGAAGGAAAAAGGACAGTCAGAACAGAACTAAAGTAGCCCCACGAGTGGTAGAAATTACCTCGTAACTTCACACCACTTTCAGAGGAAACCGCTAGCCGAAATGTCCTTTAAAAATGCACATACACGATAGTTGTCAAACTCGGATTTTTTTTTTTTTTAATCAGCCCCTTCCTTTTCATATCCCTCAAAGTAAAAACCCTAAAGCAGCAACATTCCACACAAGACACGACAAAGTTAATTGTGCAAGTTTTTCCCCTGCCATTTAAATGCAAAGGTAACTAGTAGCGTCCTCTGCAAATACCGTCTGGGGACGTCCAGAGACTTTATAAGGGAAATCCTCCCTCGGAGATGAAGACTTGGGGAGAAGAGTTCTCTCCAGACTCAATGGGACACTCCTTATTCAAAGAGAACCATGCTCGCGATCCAGCCTGGCAGCGCATTTGCAACCAAGAGCTCAGCCCCCAGCGTCTAATTCCAGCAGAAGGTAAATTAAGACAAAGCAGCCACACACTCCACAGGGGGGAGGGCGAAAAGGTTAAGCAGCATCAGCGTGCAGTCGCGACCAGAAGGGAAAGTGACCTCATTCTGCGTGAGGATGCACTATTCCACCAGCCCACCTTTGATGTGGATGTCGGCAGCGGCAAAAGCACAAAGGGTGAAGGCTGGAGGGAGCAAACTTCCCTACCCGTCCACCCTGCAGCCGGGAGCTCGCACACGCCCGAACAACAAAGCGTGCCCCGGGCTGCACGGCCGGCGCTGCCCGCGGCCGGGTCACCGCGCCCCGGAGCGCGCTGCTCCCCAGCTGCAGAGCGAGGGCGCCCGCGCACATCCGCAGGCAGGACCGCCGGCAAGGGGGAGGGGATGGTGGGCTTCCCTACCTTGAGCAACACAAAGAGCCAGAGCAGAGGCAGGAGGCGACGGCCGCCGCGTGTCCTCGTGGGCAGGTGCCCCATCGCGGCGAGGACGGGGACCCGAACGGACCACGGATCTGCCGGGCTCCCCAGGTGGTAGCGCACAATGGCGAACTGGGGCTGCAGCCTCAGACGGTGGGTGCCGAGGCTGCTCCCGGAGGACACATGCTGCCTTCCCGGCCCCCTTGCGACTGCTCCTTTCCTCTTCCGCGCCCGGGGTCCTCCAGGAACGCGCCTCGAGCGGCTGTTCCTCAACAGCTAAGGATGGAGAGGGTGGGGATTGGAGTGGGCGAGGCTCTGCCGCTGCTGCCACCGTGGCTGCGAGAGGGGGTGGGGGTCCGCGTGGTAAGCGAGGGAGGGGGTGCTGCGCCGAGTCCTCCGAGGTCCTTAGGCAGGAGGGACACTCACTCTGAGCTGCAGACTCACACGGTGACAGCAGCCTCGCAGGGCTCCCACCAGAGTCCGCTGCTGCCTCACTGCCTCCGGCCCTGGGCAGCCCCCACTCCAGGCCCCGCCCAAGCCTTTCCACAGTCGCTGGGACCCAGGAGTTGTGTGGGGTTTTCCTGACTCTTCTCGAACAACCCAGGGGCAGATCCCAGTCACCTCTCAGTCCTCCTGCAACTGCTCTCAGTTGCTGTTATAAAGGACCCTGCCCTTGGGGGATAGTGGTAGTTGTGAAAGTAGTGATGGGATCGTGGGGTGCATGTGGGTGGAAAATGTGGAGACTAACCCTCTCCGCTTTAATTCTCTCCATCCCATTTAAACGCTCTCATTCCCTGCAGCTCACACTCAGCCAGGAGGAAAGCACACAATTAGAGTTTCCATTTGAAATCAGTTGTTCTTGCAAATTTCAAGGGCTGTCCTTTGATACCAAAGTCTGTCGGGTCACCAGAAGCAGACTAGAGGAGAGAGGATTTTAGATTCATAAATAATGTTTGATGATTAAAGAAACTGTCCAACTTTCCAGAGTGCTTATGCCATTTTATATTCCCACCAGCACTGGGGGGGGCGGGGGGTGGGAAGGAGAGTAAAAGGGAAGGTGCATCATTAAAAAGCAGTAATGTTAGGCATACAGTTCCCTGTCTCGATTATGATGATGGTTATACAGATGTGCCTAGATGATTAAACCGAACAGAAGTGTACACACACACACACACACATTCATGTACACCTGGCAAAATCTAAATAACCAACCTCAGCTCTTACTTTTCATACAGCACTAGTTATATGTTATCTCTGGAGGAAAGAGTGAAGGGTACATGGGACTCCTCTGCACTATTTTTCAAATTGATATATAATTGATATATATATATATATAACATTAGTTTCTTGTGTACAACATGATGATTTGACACTTGTATATATTCCAAAATGAGGACCATAATAAATTTAGTTAACATCTATCAACACACATAGTGACAATTTTTTCCTTGTGATGAGACTTTTCAGGCTGAGATACTGGCTAAGTCACACAGTTAGTGGCAGGGCAAAGCACCCAGGGCTACGTTTACTCAGCCTTTGGCTAGAAAAGCAGTGTGTGTGTGTGAGAAGGTTTAAGACAGATTAAACTAATAGGAGGAATATACACTAATAGGAGGAATATATAGATAATAGGAGAAATATACTCACACACACAAATGCATAAATAAATATAGGGTGATGGTTTGAATATATGTGAGGAGATTGTCTTTGGTGTCCCGTAGAAGCTTCTTTTGTTGTCACTCTCTTCCCCCTTATATGCTCACTTTTGTGCCCTATACCCCTGCTTTGTTGACCTGCACTTTCTCTTCCTCTTGGAAAAATACTAGCTGCTTCTTAAATCCCCTGGGTCAGATTCATGGGCTCACTGAAAAGTTTACCCTCAGTACTACACTGGTAGGAGCATTAGTTTGTACGTTTTGCTTTTATTTTGAAGCTCCTGAAAGCTGTTTTCTATTCTACCCATTCCTAAAAGTGACCTTAAGCCAAGAACTAAAGGCCAGTGGCCACATCATCCTCATCTGGTGTGATGCCAATGATTCCTCTTTTGAACAGTTTGACTTTAAAGAGTGTGTGTCTGTGCTGTGAATTATAACTTTGTCTGAGGATATTCACATGTGTATGCAAGTGTGTTTGTGAGCAGGCAGACACAAGGATTTAAGCTTACCTGATGTATGTAGAGTGTTAGAAAGCAATTTCACGGATCATACATTCATCTTGTAAACGCAAAGAGAACTTTCACAGCCATGCACACTTCTATCTGCAGCTTTCTCCAGCTGCGTGAAAGTAAAGTGGAGCCTATGAAATCATTCCTGAGTCAAATGGTGTAAAGGGAGAAGCAATTATCATTCATTCATATGGAAAAATGTTTGAGCATTCCCAGACCTTAGAAATAACCTATCAAATCATACAAATTACACCTAAAACCTAAAATAACACTCACATAAGGGTAAAAGTGGGAATGATGTAGTAAATACCCAGCAGTATAAAGTACAGAAGCTGTGGGGCCTCCCTCATTGCTCTGGCTGCCGCTGTCTCTACAATAGTGTCATAAAACCCACATCAACCCCATCCTCCCTTTTGTTGTAAAAGTGGAAATCCCCTTCAAATTTCTTTCCATCAGTGAAACAAGTATTAATGCATATCTTACATAAAAGCAAGGTAGCAAAAGGAGAATTTTCAAAAAGTGGGGAATACCTGTAATCATATTTGTCCATGTCTTTCCAAGTTTTCATCACATTATCACCATTTGCTTAGTTCTTTCTGCCCTTCTACATATGGATCACTTTTTGGAAACATAACTGTAAACATTAAGCAGTAGAGCAGTCCCTAGTAAAGTATTTGTAATCAGCATTATTAATATCCCATTAAGCAACATGATGATTAGACAGCCTACAGACTGAAAGTTTTATTTCATAATCACAGAAAGCTTCCTCTCCAGAGGAAAGTATTTGCATAGCTGTTACTGGATAAAATCATTTCACTTGTTTTTATTACACAGGAAACACTAACAGTCTTGTGGGTCTTCCTGGTGGGTACTCCCAAGAATGTGAATGCTGTGTCATCAGCACTTGGGAGTTTCAACCACACAGCACGCTGTGTATTGCTTTGAGCTACTGACGAGTTTTCTGATGCAAAAACTTCCAAAGTATGATAAATCTTCTCGTGCCAGTTTTAAGATGCACCCAGAGTGCATCTTCTACTAACATATACCTCACCAAATGCTTCAAAATGCCTGTCCTGATTTCATATCATGCAATACTGCTGGGTAAGGAAGACTGAAATTTCTATCACCAATGACCGTCTCCTGGTGTTGCTGTTCCTGGGAAAAAAAGGAAAATGTGGAAAAACCAAAATCTCTTCCATGCCTTGAGACAGGTGCTTAAAAAACAAATTCTCAAAAGTTGAAATGAAGCTCTCTACTTCCTCTGGAAATGGGAGTAAGAATGTTACTGATCGAGAGAAAGGAAGACATTTTTTTAAATGGGTGGGAGGCTGTTTTGCTTAGGAAAAGCAATCTTCTCTGAAATCTGTAAAAACATGCCCATGCCTTTGTGCTCACATCGCTCTCTTCTAGAGAAAGAGAAGCCATAGTATCCTCAGAGAAGGGGTTGTAATCCCTAGGAGACATTTAATGAGTCACATGGAACTCTTACAGAGCCCTTGCCAAGGAAGCTCAATTCTGTCTTCCAGGGACCAAGAGTAATGCAGTTCTGTGTGTTTGGTCCTGCCTCTAGCCCTGAAATCGCCTACGAGGCAGTTGGTTGGTTGGATATCAGAACTGTATTTATGAGGGTTACTCCATGACGAATAGTTTGCTTCACATGGGAAGCAGGAAACAGCTGATCCCAGATTGTATTCTACTTGAAAAGCAGAGGAACAGTCAATTTGTCATCCATGTCCCATGTCTTGCAATTACTACAACATGTGAACCGTAGATTTGCAATTTGTCCTTAAAATGAGATGACCAGGCAGCATTTTAATATTCAACTTATTTGAGCATTTGCTTTAGTTCTTCTCTTGATGAACACTGGTTTCTCACCTAAAAGATGTGTTGACAATTCACAAATTCTGTGTCTTTCAAAGTAAAAATGACTGACAGTCTTCAGGTGAAAAGCATGGCCCAACTGCCAAGACTTATTATTCCTGCCCCACTTGAGGAATGGTGAAATCAACAGAAGGTCACTTTTGCTTTCACACGGAGACACTTTTCCCAGTGGCTCTTTTTCCTGCTTAAATAAATCTAATTAAGGCATCTACCTTTTTTGTTTGACTTTTACATGGCTTTAAGGAAAATCAAAGAAGAATACCGTGTTACCAGGAATAAGAATCATCTGCTCAAAGCAATAAGGAAAGCTCTATGGAAAACTAATTAGGTATTTATCATCAGATACTGTAGGTATCTGAGATGAATGATCCCAAGTTAGGAAGGTAAATTTTTGCCTTGAGATATCATTGCCTCCTAATGTTATATACTAGAATTACAATTGATTGTTAACATTTCCGTTAATTGCTCTAAAATTAAAAAAATAAACATCCTTAAGTTATACCGTTTTATCACATATTTTGTTTACATGTGATGTGCTGGCTATGATTTTTTTCTGAGGATTCTAGGCATTATATCATCTACTCAGTTAGCTTTTCTTTATAACCAGGTTTTTTAACCAATTATAATTTAAACCATTTATACCCTGTGTGGAAAGATTCACTTGAGCTTGGCAAAAAAACAACAACCAAAAAAACCATATTAGAACTTAAATATAATGGATCTACCAAGCAAGACATATTATTTACTAAGTGAAAATGGTGTCTACTGACCTTTCCTTCTTTCCCTTCTTCACTTCCCTGTAAAGAGAGGACGCAACACACCATGTGTGGTATCACACATAGGATCCACATGAGCCACCAAAAAAGTTTTAATTATGGAAAAAATATTTTAATTATGGAAAATTTTGTCAGTGATTTCAGGGGCTGTGAAGAAACTATGAAAAATTAATCACATATTTTGAAAGTGCACTGCCTTAACTTCTGGGATTTTACTAATAGGTGTAATAATATTACTTGGACAATTATACTTCCAATCAATCACATCAAATCAAGTTTCATGCTAAAAATTACAAAGTTAATAGTATTCTCAAATCTGACTGTGAGGGAAGGGGTGAAGTGGACTGTAGTCTGAAGAGACGGGGAGGGGAGATCACTGATAAACTGGTGTCCTTACCTGTCTTAGCAGAGAGCTCTAGAAGAAAAAAATCAAGGAAGACGTGAATGTTTTGGGGAAATGCCAGTGGCCCAGGGATCATCCTGCACATAATATCCTGCTCCTCAGGGGACACGAAGGAAAAGCATTAAGTGGGGAGCGGTGGGTTTCTAGATGTGCCTGCAGAGTGTGACTCTCTGTGAGAGGAGCAATTTGAGAGGGAGTTGAATGCAGACTTCCCATCTCTCTC